GAGGCGACCCTCTACCACAATAAGAGCATATGGGGGATAGCAGACCTTTCTGCTCCAGGTTGGTCCTGGACGCCAGCCAATCGGGTGTGGGAAGGCAGCGGTGCAGAATCTGCCATTGGAGCGATCGCAGATTCGTGCGCCAAGGGGACCCCATAGCGCCCCTGCTGTTCGTGATTGTAATGGAGGCTCTGGCCTCACTAATCCGAGCACACTCGCGGATCCAGAAGGTTTCGATCACAGAATTGCGGCCACACCAGGTCCCGATGACATCCTTGTTTGCAGATGACCTTAAAGTGCTCATACGTGCTGACGAGGATAGTCTTCGAGCATTGGCAGAAGTCATTCACCAATTCTCGCTGGCCGCCGACATGAAGGTCAACTGGAATTCTAAGACCGAAGGGTGGTGGCTGCACCCGTCGGGCGGGATTCCCCCCCTAGAACCGCCGGTCTCTTGGGCTGCGAAAGACACGGCAATCAGAATCCTGGGGGTCAAGCTAACAGCGCTTGGTCGGCCGCTGGACCATGGCGAGAACTTGGTCAACCTAGCGATTGACAAGTTGCAGAAGTGGGAGAATCTGCACACATCCTTGGTGGGCCGGGCCCTGGCAATCAATAATGCAATCCTTGCAGCAATCTGGTATAAGCTCGTTGTGTGGCCCCTCAACCCGAAACAATATGCTAGACTTAAACGGGCCCTGTCAGTCTACCTATGGAAAAATAGCACTGACTCCCAAGGAGTCCTCCACCGTGTAAAATGGGACTTCCTGACGCAACCCAGGTCCAAAGGAGGGCTGGAGATTCTGGATCCGGAGAGAGAGAGTGAGGCCCTTTTGTTCAAAGTGCTGATACGTCTTCTAGTGGGTGAAGACATTCCTTGGGCACCACTCGCCTGTTTGCAGATTGCAAACTTGGCCCCGGAGTCGCCGGTGGAGGATCGGGTGCACCCCCTCCAATGGCTGACCAATGCATTCTGGTCCATTCCCGCACCAGCGCACCATCAAAGTCCACCAGAAAATGCAGCGGAGGCCACCAAACAGGATATACCAAATCACCCGCTGTGGCCGACTATGCTCAAACTGTGGAGGCACAGAGGGCCGAAGAAAAAACCCCCGCCCATCAGGTGGCACGATATATGGAGACAACCCCTTTTTGGTAACCCCTACGTGGTGGATGCAGAAGGGAACCCCTTTGCACTCAAGGCCAACTCTCCGTGGCTTAATTGGGTCAAGCGAGGTATCCACACAGTAGGTAGCCTCTGGGATGCAGAATCAGGGGACTGGATCGCACTGGATAAGCTGCAACAAAAACTGAAATACTCCAAACATGTTGCAGCTAAATTAGCCATGCTAACGGAAGCCATACCGTTGGCATGGCAACTGGCACTGAAAACTGGGCCCAATGTGCGGCACGGTGACTGGGTAGTCAAGACCGCTGACCTGCCGCTTCCACTACTCATCTACAGAGTCAACTCGAACATCCATGGTTTATGTGAGTTGGAGGCTTACACATCCTTGTTACCTGGAGCGCGGATGGCCCAGGTTCTACGGAATGAGCAACTTGACCGTAAACAGAATTGGGATTCACTGATGCCTGTTAGAGTGGTCGGTGGCCTCGAAGAAGGGTTTTTCGCCTGTGAACCCGCCACCTCGATTGCTGCCATCCCCTTTGATCCGGCTGAATGGGAGTGGGTAGAAGGGAAACATATGTGCATTTGGGACTATACCGCCAAAGGAGGCTACAGGCAAGCCACTCTGCAGCAGCAAATTGACCGCGTTGTTTTTGAAAGATGAGCAAGAGATTCGCCCATCGACCCTGCCCGGGTGCAGAATCTGCCATGGCGCGCATATGCCAAAATCATGCCCACGAATCTGCGATCGCTCCAATTGCAGATTCTGCACTGCTGCCTTCCCACACCCGATTGGCTGGCGTCCAGGACCAACCTGGAGCAGAAAGGTCTGCTATCCCCCATATGCTCTTATTGTGGTAGAGGGTCGCCTCMGGCTCCAGCGACACTGGAGCATTGTCTTTTGGCCTGCCCCATGGTTGCTCAGTTATGGCGGTGGTGGGATGCGGCYTTTCACTCCCTCACCTCCTACCGCATCCCGTGGGACATGGCTCTGCTATTGTTGGGCAGTAAAGATTGCGTCCCAAACCACTGGTCGGCCTTTGCATCCAACCTTTTCTCCTACACAAGGCTTTATATGCTTATGCTCGCCTGGCGTGCAAGGTGCTCCTTTGAAAGAAAGGACCACCAGTTTGGGATGCAACAGGCCCAACAAGCGCTGGAGGACAACATAAAGTCTCACACATACGACGCCTGGAAGGCTCTGAAACGACAATACAGTGAGGAAAAAGAACCACAGGCTAGACTGACCATCATAGACACCTACTTACAGATTTGGCAGGATCCCCTCAAGCATTTCAGTGAGATGGATGCCGAAATGAATATTACCTGGAAGCCCTGGAGGAACGGGGAACACCTGTGGAGCAGGAGACCCCTGCAGGGAAAGTCCCGTATCTGCCAACCCATTTCATCCTGGTGCCGGACTCGCCACCATCGCCCCTGCCTCCCTCGCCACCGCCACCGCTCAGCGTCCCACCCTCCCAGTCCCCACCTGCCCTGCCCCCCCAAGTCGCCTCCGCGTCCCGCCTATACTCCGCTCATACAGGAGCATCAGGATGAACGGCTCGCGAAGAAGTGCGGTGATGCCCACACAGATATGACAGGTGGTCGGCCTATCAGGGAAGAGCTAACGTAGACGGAGACGGGTCATGAAGGAAGTTCCACTGCATGTTACGGCCTTGGGCCTTGGCAGCTCAAGGATGTGGCTAGCCTGCGAAAGTGAGTTCTGCGCTGATGCTTGTGGTGATGCCCACACAGGTGTGATAGGAGGACGGCCTATCGGGGAAGAGCTGACACAGACGGAGACGGGTCATGAAGGAAGTTTCAATGCATGTAACGGCCTTGGGCCTTGGCAGCTCAAGGCAGTGGCAAGCCTGCGAAAGTGAGATCTGCGCTGATGCTTGGGGTCCGATGGCCTCAGACAGGGGGGCGACACAATCTGCTACGCTTGCAAACACATCCTCCATCCGGTCAAAGTGATGAGTTGGATCATAGGTCTGCTAGAGTGTAACAAATCCCGTTCTGCTAGAGTGTAAAGAATCCCTCATAGTTCACAAAGGCAGCCCAGGGAGAGGCATTACGGCTACACTAGCCATACGGGCCTGGGTCCGGCCAACATAAGTCATATTTTCGTGTCTGTTATTACCGTTTCGACGTACTGTGAAAAGGGGGGCTGCTGAATTGACGGCCGGGGGGATTGATATTGGGATGCTCCAACAATTGGAAGGGCGATCTCAGCAGCTCCATGGGACAAAGGAGCCCCGGGATTGATTTTCTAATGCCCCTGGCCCCGAACCAACATTGCATCACTTGTTTTGTGTTACCTGATGTATCGATGGGACGCTGGACCCGGTTTCCAGCAGGTGTCGCTCCCCACCAATAGATGGAGCTGCCCGGCTGGTAAGCCCTCAATTCTGGTGGTTCTCCTACCACCACCGGGATAGAGGGATATCGATAGGGCCATTTGTTAAAACAACAACAACAACAACAACAACAACAACAACAACAACATTCCTTGGGATGGAGATGAGGTGGACCCCCCCCAAACCCTAAAGCCATAGAGACAGAAGATGGCTATCTTAGATGAAGTCGGAGGAGTATGGCAAGCGAGCCACTTACGGGATGAGCTCAAAGATAGGTGGGAATTTTTGGAAGAGCTTAGAGACACACTACATTGCCGTCGCAATCGCAAGGCAAATTTAGATGCAATAATTAAAATTTAAAAATCTCCCTCACGGATAAAAGGATCTTCTCAGCCAAAGCTTACGGGGAAAGCAGAGGATTGCATGGGGGCTTTTAATTTTGAAGCACTACCCATATAGACCCTTCTGAAACTTCAGGGAACCTCTGATTCAACCTGTACTGCTGAAACTTCTCGACTTTGCCGGTCGAATATGACCAGCAATACTCCTGGGGATCAAGAGCCTGAACCCAGAAGAGGCCACAGTGGATAGTTCTGGCTCGGAAGTTGAAGTCAGGGTTACTGGACCAGACATGGACGAACATCCAAGCATTTTCCTGCCAAACTGTGCCTTGAAAGACGTTGAAATCGACCGCTGGGAATTGGAGGGGATGTTTAAACCACCAGCACTTTTCGTGCCGGCCAAAAAAAAAGATTTCGTGCCGGCCAAAAAAAAAGATTTCGTGCTTGTTCCAGTTGGACAAAACTTGGCACATGGCAGAAATTACCGTCGGGAAAACGACGCTCGGAAGTACTGTTGGTTTAAACAAGGAAAAGATCCGTAACGGGTCGAACTAAGGGTCAAACTTCCATCAGAGAGATTGGCCATATGATCTAAAGTTTTTTTTGTTACGATCCTGGTCATTTCCCAAGTGCAAATTCACAATGAAAGACAATGCCACCCAACTGCGAAAGAAATGAAAGCACTTGCAAGAGATAAAGACCAGAGGAGAGGTAAAGAAGAAGAAGAAGAAGAAGAAGAAGAAGAAGAAGAAGTACACCAGCAAGACCAATGACAATTCCCCCTTCTCTCAGAAGAAGAAGAAGAAGAAGAAGTACACCAGCAAGACCAATGACAATTCCCCCTTCTCTCTCCACCTTCCTCCTTCCTCCTTCTCTTCACCAATCTTATTCTTCTCTCAACAATAATAATAACAATGAATGGATGAATCAGAATCAATGTCCGAAGTTCCCCCTTACTGCTGACTCAACTCACAACCGAACAACAACAACAACAAGTCCACCATGGCTATGTCTTCCTTCCCTCAACCTCCTCTCTCAAGCATAGGTCATGGCGGACTACTGGAAGGCAGCTATGATGCTGCCCTGATGCCCGAAAGACAACCCAAAGCAGCTATGTCGCTGCTTGACTAGGTCCGCTATGCCTGACCCTGTCTCTAGCTGCCCTGGTGCAGCGTTACCCCAACCGGGGCCTTCCAGATGCAGTGCCCAACAAGGTGATGAAGACGGTGTCCACCATAGCCAGGTAAGTGCCCTACC